TAGCATGGACTCACTAACTTTAACGTTAGCTAGTTTCAGCCAGAGATACCAAGCACAAGATGGCATTAACGTTCTGCTTGAGCAGATGAAAATTGTAACTTAATGAGAGTATGACAACCATAAAACTAACGTTTTTGTCTTCATTGGGATTGGGGGGAATGCTTTGGGACATTTTGCTCCGTTTTGATTGGGTTTAGGAAATATAATCAAATAAATTCCTCTCAGGATACCTGGAATCAGTGTTACAAGTACCCCAGACACAACGTTTTTCCATTTTTGAAGCATAAACCCCATAAAAACGATGCAAGCTCTTTCTTTATGGCACTGAAACCTACAGATGTCCGAGTTCCGCTCCCCGTGCAACTGATACTCGACTGCCATTGGCTCATCTGCGTTCGAGGGGAGGGGCTTACCGATAGGTCAATTGAAGGTGACGAGCCTTACAAGTTGATTTATCTGCGTTTAAAAAATGCCTCTGGTCATAGAAATTTTCCAATGACTGCTGAAGCTTTTTAGCTCGGGTAGAATGTGCGATCTCTGACTGAGTTTGCTGGCTTCCATGGGTGCAATACGCTGTGTTTTCCAGCAACTGGCAACCCAGGGTGTCGAAATGCTATTGGGTAAATTGGCAGTGGACGGAGTCACATGATTAAAATACAATTAATCCTGCAGCCCTAGTGTCCACTGGCTCTAAGAAAAAAAAAACGGCATCATTTTGCATAGCACAAGCTCATTAAGCATGTTTAGATGCACTTCAAAGAGTTGGTTTTTAATTGGAACGCAGCAAGAATTTGCCTTTTTAAAATGACGGTGCAAATAAGAACTTATACATGGCTTCCCGTTATAGATATGTTCTCATGTGAAGCGATTCTGATGGCTAGCAGCTGTCAGTGATCAGCTCTTCCACATTAGATGTCTGATCTCCATCAAAGAGCAAAAAAACTCAATTCTTGAAATTCGTTTGCTATGTATCCGAATAAAAGGATTACATGCCGAGATACTAGCAATCTTCTTTTATTCTTATAAAGTGCTCAGTCAGAGCATATTAAAATCGACAGACGTTTCGGTCACGCAGGACCTCCCTCAGTGTTCACTTTCTATTGAAACGCTTCATTTTTCGATTCAGCTCCTCACATTATCAACACACGTGTATCTAATCGATTAAATTAAAGAATCAGTGACAGACCATTTACTTCATTGGCAATTTACAAATAAATCCAGAGGAGATACAGAGAAATACAGAATCAACCTTTTATTTGGATGCATAATCAAAGAATTTAGTTTTTTTTTGCTCTTTTTTTCAAGAATTTAGTTTTTTTGCTTTTTGACGGATTCTATTATTGACTTGCAATCGTGTTACATGTGAATGGAACCAAGCGCAAAATCCTCCTTTTTTCATTTTTGATCTCCATCAAATTCATGAAGTGTTTATCATAAAGACTTGGGACACTATGTGTACTATTTTTGGCTCTTCGACGAATTTCTTGCGGGGTTCGCATTAGATAAAAGCATCTGCTAAATGAACAAAGCTGTACTAACTAACCTCCTGTCTGGGACTTCTATAGGAGATGCACTAATAACAGCTCGTTATAAAACAGCGGGGTGAAATATCGTTATTCCAGGCACTGAATCCACACGCTGTCATTATCTAATGAAGTGAGGGGCGTCTGGATGGCTGTAGATCTTCCCCTCACTGATTTTCACGGGCCGAATGGAAAGAACTGACATGTTGAGTAAGATAAAGGAAGAGGAGGAGATGAAGAATGTGCAGCAAATATGTGGATTTCCAGTCAGACATGTGACCTCATATGACTGCTAATAAACGGCGGAACAAAGAGCAGCTTCTCTCATGCTGTGACTGCAGGAGTCCCAAATAAACACAAGAAAACTCATTCACTAATGTGCATTCTGCTGTTGATACACAACGCAATGCCCATCTTAAAGGAGACTTTATTGTAAACCTTTCTTCACCTCATTTGGTGTTCCTCGTCAAAAATGACCGGCCTTTTAAAAATAGCTTGTAATCTTGTTACACGATATTATCAGAAAATCTTTTTGTCGACTTGTTTTCTTTTAATTAGCTTAGGTTTTGTGTTTCTTTAATCAGCTGACTGATCAAATTTTGGGAAATTGTTACACCCTGTGCTTGTTTTATTCCAATGTCATTAACTAGCATTTTCGGGGAAAAAGAAAATCCTCTCCAGATCCAAATGACCGGAATACAACATGAGGGTTAATTTAACAACTTTAAACTTTCATAATTAAAAGGAGTATGTTCACTAGCACATTATTGACAGATGTTAATTTCTGTGGTATGGAAGCTAGCAGTGAATACGGTGAAACTTCACTGGTATTGGTGACACCTGCTAGACTGAGGCATGATGACGTGTTTAACGTGTTCGGATGATGAAGCATGCGATGTGTGTCTGACCTTTGGTGATGCTGAGAGTGTTATCGCCGCTCGCGACGAAGTCATACAGCGCTACGAACAGATTGGGGTCATTTTCGCTGGGTCCCGCCAGCAGATTCTCTTTGGAGTTCCAGCGCGCCGCCTCAGACAGACCCGGAGCCTCGAAATCCGGCCGCTGAAGCGCTTCTGCAAACAGACCAATACATGACAATGAATATGAGAATTCATGTTAACATATGTGTGACCCTGGAGCACAAAACCAGTCATAAGGGTCATTTTTTTGAAAATGAGATTAATACATCATCTGAAAGCTGAATAAATAAGCTTTCCATTGATGTATGGTTTGTTAGACATATATATATATATACTGATTTTTTTTTAAATCCAAATGCAAAAATGCAGAAAATACAGAGCTATATATATATACCGTATATCGGAAATCAGCCAAAAAATACAGAGATATGAATTTTTGGCCACATCGCCCAGCCATAATAGTAACATGTGCCGCAAATGTAATCATCAATACAGTCAGCTCACAGTACATCACCACAACCACGTGTGTCATAAAACATCATGGACATAAACGCCAATCTGAACTTTTTAATGAGTCACATTCATTACTCTGTGCCATGCGGAGAAACACGTGCAGTGAAACGATAGTGTCTGATGACCTCAGACATAAACAAGGCAAATAAGATACGGCAGAAGATTTGTTTTTCATGCATAAATTCACTGACTGGGACATGAATCAGCTTAGAGAAAAAAATAAAAGAGTGTTTTAATCACCCAAAAACGGGAATTCAGTCATCATTTACTCTCTCTAATGTTGACTGTGAAATGCAAAAGGAAAACATTTGAGCAATCCTCAGTGACCTCAAGCCCTGGCATGTGGACGACTGCTGCTTTTATGGGCATTTTTGGAGCCAGACATGATAAAGATTCTCCTCGTGTTCCACAGAACGACATGAGAGTCAGTAAACAATGAGGGAATGGTTAACTAACCCTTTAGTCACCCGTAAAACACCAGTGCATTTGGGTAGTTGACAAATAATATGGATTTTTTTTAAATCCACACCACAACTCAATGTTCAAGGCATGTACAGGAGAATTATGTAACTGGTCTTCCACAATTTTTAGCTTTGCAATTCCCATTTAGCATGATCTCATGTTAAAGTCCTGAGCAGCCAGTCAACATACAGCCACAAAGACATCAGGCTACAATACAATCAGATGTTTCTTTCACATTTCAGCTCCTTTATACACGACCAGTCAAACGTTTTTGGACAGTAAGATTTTTAATGTGTTTTTTAAAGAATTCTCTTCTGTTCACCAAGCCTGCATTTATTTGATCAGAAATACAGCAAAAGTAGAAATATTTTTACTATTTAAAACAGCTGTTTTCTATGTGAATATCTGTTAAACTGTAATGTATTTCTGTGATGCGCAGCTGTATGTTCAGCATCATTACTGCAGTCTTCAGTGTCACATGATCTTCAGAAATCATTCTAATATGCTGATTTACTGCTCAAGAAACATTTCTGATTATTATCAATGTTGAAAACAGCTGAGTAGAATTTTTTCAGGTTTCCTTAATGAATATATAACTCAGACGAACAGCATTTATCACAAATATAAATCTTTTGTAACATCATAAATGTCTTTATCATCACTTTTGATCAATTTAATGCATCCTTGCTGAATAAAAGTATTAATTTCTATAATTTCTATAATTATACTGACTCCAAGCTTCTGAATGGTAGAGTGTACAATGTTACAAAAGCTTTTTATTTCAGATATTTTTGATCTTTAAATATTTCTATTCATCAAAGAATCCTGAAAAAAAATGTACTCAACGGTTTTAAATATTGATAATCAGCAAATCAGCATATTAGAATGATTTCTGAAGGAAGTACAACGAATGGCTCGTTTGGACTACAGCATTGTTTTCCGGGCTTTGTGATGTCACAAAGCGGCTCATTAGAAGATCATTAAAAATAATTCCCGCCTACAGAAATTCGAATGGTTGGGGG